GGAAGGAAGGAAGGAAGGAAGGAAGGAAGGAAGGAAGGAAAGAAAGAAAGAAAGAAAGAAAGAAAGAAAGAAAGAAAGAAAGAAAGAAAGAAAGAAAGAAAGAAAGAAAGAAGGCAAACAGATGGGGAGGGAGGCAGGCTCTCCCAACCACCCCCAATCAAGCCCCCCCTGCGGCTCCCTCACCCCCCATCAAGGCCCTGCCACCACCCCCCATGGCCCACCCCTTAATCAAGTCCCCGCCACTGCCACCCCACACCAGGTGCCACGAAAGGCAGGTGGCGGGGCTCCAGAGGCTTTCCCTGGGCTCTGTGCCTCGGCGCAGGTGGGGGCTCTGCAACTTACCTGGCTGCTTCTTGCTCCTCGTGGCCCAGAGCTGCTGGGAGCAGGGGGCGGGGCTTGTTGCATGTGCCTGCCCCCTGGACTCTTTAGTGCCGGAGCTCCGCTCCTGTGCGCTCCTGCAGGAAATGACCCCTGACTCCAGGTGAGGCCTGACCATAGCAGAATAGAGCAGAACCACCAGCTTCTAGTAATTCATCTCAAGATTGCATTAGCTTTCTTCGGAGTCACATCACACTGCAGGCTCATGTTTAGCTTGTGATCAACCAGGACACCCAGATCCCTTTCACATGTGCTGCTGTCAAGCCAAATCCCTCACATTCTATATTAGTGCCTTTGATTGTTTTGTACCTAAGTGTAGGACTTTGCACTTAGAGAAAGGTATTCACTGAGCACCAGTTTAATGACACAAAATGTAATCAGCTCAGGGTTAATGGAAAGGAACTCCTTTCATGAACTTTACTAGCTTTGTGACATTTCTGAGAATCACTGGGAGTGTCTTGGGAAGAGATTACCTCTCTTCCCAGACTGAACATTTGAAACTTGTCTAAGCTCGATCCTGTCAACTATGGAGGCCGGAAGACGTTGCAGCCAGTGTTCCCTCTATGCTGAGTTAGTGTGAGCTAGCTCACAGTTTTTTAGCCTCTGGCTCACACATTTTTGTCACAACTCAGGAAAGATGGCTCCAGAGCAAACTTAATTCATGCAGCAGCCAAATCGCTCACTCACAGCTTTAATGCCAGTAGCTCACAAAGCAGAATGTTTGCTCACAGGACTCCATAGGTTAGAGGGAACATTGGTTGCAGCACCCCACTCTTTATAGGTAAAGGTAAAGGTTTCCCTTGCTCGAAAGCCAGTTGAATCCGACCCTAGGGATGCGGTGCTCATCTCTGTTTCCAAGCCGAAGAGCCAGCGCTGTCCGAAGATGTTTCCGTGGTCATGTGGCCGGCATGACTAGACGCCGAGGCGCACGGAACGCTGTTACCTTCCCACCAAAGCAGTGCCTATTTATCTCCTTGCAATTTCTTGCTTTCGAACTGCTAGGTTGGCAGGAGCCGGGACCTGAGACGGGAGCTCACTCCGTCATGCGGCACTCGGGTCTCGAACTGCTGGACTACCGACCTTCCGGTCTGCAGTTCAGCGTCTTAACCACTTGAGCCGCCGCAGCCCCCTCTGTACTATAGAGACTGGAATTATTGGAACAGTGCTCCCAGTGCTTAAGATGAAAATGATCTTTAAAGATGTATAAATGACAGCTGCCACTCAGTGGGCATAAAGATCAAAAGGTGAGTGAGAGGATATCCAACACACCCAAGTTGCCTTTCCTGGGATAACTCAGTTATGCTTTTGAACACAGCGTGATGAATCGATCAAGACTGTATGACCACTGGGAAGAGCACGCGACAGAATAAGGTTCAGTAACATGGCTTTGGCTGTTGTCCTTGAAATCATTTAAAAATGAAAGAAAAACTACGGAACACTTTCATTTTATATTTTATAGTGTTCCACAGTTACCATCAATCTGGAATATCGGACTGGCCCACTCTAGGGGCTCTGGGGCAAGGGATGCTCTGTCTTATTGGTGCTTGGGGGGGTCAACAGTGGGAGGGCTTCTAGTGTCCTGGCCCCACTGCTGGACCTCCTGATGGCACCCGGTATTTCTGGCCACTGTGTGACACAGAGTGTTGGACTGGATGGGCCATTGGCCTGATCCAGCATTGGCGTCTCTTATATTCTTATGAGCTTCACCGGCAAACATCTGGACCGTGGGACTGATTTTAAGACCCGAAGACAGAAGGAATGCAGCCACAAACCATTCATCTTAAGGTTACTCTGATGTAGCGAGCACTTTATTGTTAATATTGTTTTTAAGGTATTTTAATATTTTTATGGTTTTATTTGTATCGGCCTGTTGGCCGTCTTCTGTAAGCCGCCCAGAGCCTGTTTACAAGGTGGGTGCGGTATAAATGTAAATATAAATAAATCAAATGGGGGGGGGCAATTTGAACATTCAATACAGAGAGAGGAATACTGGAGAATATTGGCTAACATATAGGACCAGAAAGACATTTTTAAAACCCTGTGTTGCAGGACACATGCTTCTCTATCTTTACCAAGCATAGAACTTGCTGATTCCAAGTATCTGAAGAGATTAACTCCTTTCAGATGTATCCTGTCTCATGCTTTTGCTCTGCTTCCTGTATCAGAGCTGTCAGAAATGGTCACCATGCTCTTCAGGAAATGCCACAAAGACCAAGTATTTGTTTAAATACATGGCCTATGGAAGTACCATTATTTACTTCAGATTAGTTCTATATACGATTAGAAGTGCACCTGCACATTAGTCAGATTGCACTGAAATTGATGGAATTACTTATAAGTGTAGAAGATCAAATAACAAATAACAGTGTGCAACTGCAATTAAAAAAGGCCAACACTATGCTGGGGATTATTAGGAAGGGAAATGAAAACAAATCAGCCAGTATCATAATGCCCCTGTATAAATCAATGGTGCAACCTCATTTGGAGTACTGTGTACAGTTCTGGTCGCCACACCTTAACTGAGGGGTGACATGATCGAGGTTTACAAGATTATGCCTGGGATAGAGCAGGTAGAGAAAGAAGTCCTTTTCTCCCTTACTCACAATACAAGAACTCGTGGGCACTCGATGAAATTGCTGAGCAGTCAGGTTAGAACGGATAAAAGGAAGGACTTCTTCACCCAAAGAGTGATTAACACATGGAACTCACTGCCACGGGAGGTGATGGTGGCTACAAGCACGGACGGCTTCAAGAGGGAATTAGATAAACATACGGAGCAAAGGTCCATCAGTGGCTATTAGCCACAAGATGTAGACAGGAGCTCTTGGTCTGGGGCAAGGGATGCTCTGTATGCTGGGGGGGGGGCAACAGTGGGAGGGGCTTCTAGTGTCCTGGCCCCACTGCTGGACCTCCTGATGGCCCCTTGTATTTTTGGCCCCTGTGTGACAGAGTATTGGACGGGATGGGCCGTTGGCCTGATCCAACATTGGCTTCTCTTACGTTATTATGTTCATGGTTTTAACTTTATATAAACAAATGAAAACAGGATTACATGCATATCCAGAAAAGAGAAAAGGACAGTAATTTCTCAGTATATAAATTTGCCTATTGGATCACACCTTTAAAATTCAGATACATTTATCTCAAATAACTACAATGCCCAGCTGTATACTAATAATCATGCAGTGAGAGCTAGAATCCTCACTATAACCACTGGTGCATATTACCACTCTTCCCAACTGACTGGCGTTGCTTCCTCATGAGGGCAATTTTCTGTTCTGCTATCACTGCAGCAACAGAGTCCCTGCAAGGAAGAAGAAGAAGAAGA